GCGCCACGCGTGCAACATCGGTCCTCGTTTGCTGCCACCACGTCTCCTGCAGATCAGTGCAGCCCTGGTCACTGAGTCAGTGCAGAGCCCAGGACACTGAAGGGCAGGGAGGTTCAGGGGCCCTTGAACTTGGACCCCAGGCAAGTGCACTGGGGACAATCAAGCCGCTTGACAACTCCCAGTTGGGGACCCTCCGCCCCTGGCTCTCTCTGCTGAGCCAAAGGTGGGGGGAGTGTGGGTCAGGGGTGAGGGGGTTTGTGGAGGCCAGTGGGGCGAGCATTCTGGGGACCGTCTCGCCTACCAGACATCAGAGTGGGTGGTGAACACGCCGTCCTTGAGGGACTCGGGGGACATCCAGCGCACAGGCAGCAGCCCCTTCCCGCCCTTCCGGTAATAGTCGGTCTCATAGATGTCGCGAGTCATGCCGAAGTCTGCGGGGCGGGGAGGAGGCAGGAGGGTGACTCTCCAGGACAAGCACGGACAGGACATCCCTGCTGGGAGGTGGCCCCACCTCCAATCCCATTGGCAGAACCCGCAAGGCACGAGCGATGAGCCACGTGCCACGCAAACACCAGGAAAGCTCTGCTGCTAAATACACTTCCACCTTCATTTTTCAGAAAGGTCAATCCCTTACTGCACTTCAATGAGAGGCAGCGCCCGGCCGGGTGTGGCTCAGTGGTTGAGCATCAACCTACGAACCAGGAGGCCACAGGTTTGATACACGGTCAGGGCACAGGCCCGGGTTGCAGGCTCCATCCCCAGTAGGGGGCGTGCAGGAGGCAGCTGATCAATGATTCTCTCTTATCATTAATGCTTCTCTCTGTCCCTCTCTCTTCCTCCCTGAAATCAATAAAAATATATTTAAAAAAAAGAAAATATATTCTGTAGACTGAAGATCATTCTCACATGTTTTTGTGTGTGTGTGTGTGTGTGTCTGTGTGTGTGTTTAACATGTTTTTATTGATTTTTAGAGAGAGAGGGGAAGGTAGAGGGAGAGAGAGATGGAATCATCGATGAGAGAGGAACATGACTGATCAGCTGCCTCCTGCACGCCCCCTACTGGGGATCGAGCTCGCAACCTCAGCAAATGCCCTGACTGGGAATGGAACCAACGACCTCTTGGTTCCTGGATCGATGCTCAACCACTGAGCCACACCAGCCCGGCTCAGGTGGTTTTGAACTTGATGGAAAGCAGGAGCACGGCGTTGCCCCACAGGAAGGAACGCGGTTTCACCGTCTAATCAGGAGGGAATACTGAGCGATGAAAAAAAGCACCCAGCGAGAATCCCAAGAGATGCTACCGACCAGGCCCCTGATGCGATTACTCACTGATGTTGCTCAACATGATACGCCCCCTCGTTTTCGAAAATTTCTCCCATCTTCCCTGCCTCTAGAAGATGTCACGTAATTACGTTTGATGGCAGGCTGGCTTTATAACCCTACGTGATTGCTTCTTTGTCAGACTGATTTCCCAGTCGGTGACGCAGCCCTCCTTACAGGGACTCTCTCTCCCCGGCTCCTCCCAGGAGAGAGGGCCGCTCTCCCTTGGCAAACGTTCGTTCGCCCCGGCCGGTGTGGCTCAGTGGTTGAGTGTCGACCTCTGAACCAGGAGGTCAGGGTTCGATTCCCAGTCGCGAGTTTCTGTAGCTCGTCTCTGTGCTTAATCTTTTGTTTTTAAAAAATAATTAAAAAAAAAAAAAGAAAACTGGAGGGAAATTATTGGTACTTTGTATATATTGATTGATTTCGGAGAGGAAGGGAGAGGGATTGAGCCCAAAACACAGGCATGTGCCCTGGCCTGGGAATCGAACCGTGACCTCGTGGTTCAGAGGTCAGCGCCCAACCACTGAGCCACACCAGCCGGGCAAAGTTGGCACTTTGGATGGCAACTATTATTCCCTAAGTCACCGTCGCCCGAGAACGCTGTCTCCATGATTTCCATAACCGATGCTTAGAACTGTCCTGCCAAGAAAGGCCCCAAGTCCCAGGAGAGGCAACCTGAGGGGCCTTGGCCTCAGCCCAGCCCAGCCCACGACCTGGACCGCGTGCCCACTGCGCCGTCAGGATCAAAACCAGCCCGGCCGGGCCTGTGATTGGCTGTCACCTGGAGACGATGACGTTACTCCCAAGAGCAAGCCTCTGCGCCCACGGGATGCACGGGAAAACCTCCCCATAGGGGGGCCCACCCCGACGCGCCCCCTAAAACGCGCGCGTCGAGGCCCTGCTCAGATCTTGGCAGCCAAGGACTCACCTCCGATCTTGACGGTCAAATCCTCAGCCACCATGCAGTTCCGGGCAGCAAGGTCTCTGTGGACGAACTTGTTGGCGTTGAGGTACGCCATGCCGTCCGCAATCTCCCCGGCCATCTGGATCATCTTGCTGAGGGTCGGCGGTGAGAGGACGGGGTGATTCTGTTGGAGACACAAAAAAACAGCAATTCACGTGAGAACCTAGGCGTTTTTCGAGGTTTGCAAACCCATCTTCGCTCAGTCTGAGCCGCACGGGGTAATCCGCTCAGGAATGGGGCCTTGTTCAGAAGGAACGTGTTCGCCCGGCCGGCGCGGCTCAGTGGTTGAGCATCGACCAATGAACCAGGAGGTCACGGTTCGATTCCCAGTCAGGGCACAGGCCCGGGTTGCGGGCTCCATCCCCAGTAGGGGATGTGCAGGAGGCAGCCGATCCATGATTCTCCCTGATCATTGATGTTTCTATCTTTCCCTCTCCTTCCCCCTTCTTCTCTGAAATCAATAAAAAAATATATATTTTTTTAAAATAAAAAGGAGAAGAAGGACTGTGTTATTGCGGAGACCACAGCAACTGCTTCGCGATCAAGTCGCGCGCTGCCGGCCGGCCGACCACAATCACACAGGGCTGCAGAGAGAAACACCCACAGGCACAAGTGGGGACCGGCCTTTGCTATTTCGAGTCGGACAGAACAGGGGCGCTGGGGCCCCTTGTTGGGTGGAGCAGGGGGTGGGCGCCAGTGGCCTCTGCCCACACTCGTGGCCCTCCCAGAACCACCAAGCGCATTGGGCCCAGCCGAACGATGCGCAGAACTTCATTTCAGTTCTGAGTGTCTGTGCCCATGTGGCTTCCTCTATCTGCTGTGACTGAAGAAGCCACAGGGGGACAGATACTCAGAACTGAAATGAAGGAACTGCTACCTGGAAGATGATTAAACTGCGCATTCAAAGAAAACAAAAGATTAAGCACCAAGAGAGACGGGGAGACAGAGACTCCGACAGGGAGGGGTGGGGGAAGGGGGGCACGGGGAGTGTTTTGGGAACACCAGCAGCCCCATCAGAGCTATTGGGCATGTAGCGAGGTCAGGGTCGCAGTGAGCACCTGGTCCCACCGAGGTTGCTAAAGGAAGGACGGATGTTCCAGCTGTTGCTTCTAAGTATTCATCTACCGGTCTGTTCTCAGAATCACTCACTTAAAAGTCACGCCTCGCCCTGACCGGTTTGGCTCAGTGGATAGAGCGTCGGCCTGCGGACTGAAGGGTCCCAGGTTCGATTCCGGTCAAGGGCATGTACCTTGGTTGCGGGCACATCCCCAGTAGGAGGTGTGCAGGAGGCAGCTGATCGATGTTTCTCTCTCATCGATGTTTCTAGCTCTCTATCCCTCTCCCTTCCTCTCTGTAAAAAAATCAGTAAAATATATTTAAAAAAAAAAAGTCACGCCTCCGTGTGTTAACAAGTGAGCTCGTGGGTTCGCACAACAGGAGGGGGGGTGCACCAGGGTGACGAATGATAACGGCACAGACTTCAGCCCATTTAGAATTTAAAGCTCACGCCTGGCTGGTGTGGCTCAGTGGTTGAGCATCGACCCAGGAACAATGAGGTCATCGGTTCGAGCCCCGATCGGGGCACATGCCCTGGTTGCGGGCTCTCCAGTAGGGGACGTGCAGGAGGGCAGCCAATCGTAAATGTTTCCCTCCACCTCCCACGTGGTTCAGGGTTTAGTATCTGGAAGAGGAGCTGCACACAAATGAAAGAGAAAAGACAAGAGAAAAGACTTCCTCCTGAGTTGGACTTACCTGCCGGTTCCCCCAATATTTCCAAATTATCTCGTGTCTTTTCTCTTTCATTTGTGTGCGGCTCCTCTTCCAGATCCTGAACCCTGAGCCACGCGGGACGTGGAGGGAAACATTTACGACATCCGGCGCCCGACGGGAACTTCACAAAAAACAAAAACAGAAAACTAACATAAAGTTCACAGATTGTAAAACAAGTGTCCTAGGGAAGGGCTGGTGTGGAGGGCCAGAAACAAGCCAGAGCAGTAACCTTAGCATGTTATCTCTAAGGAAGCATGTTATCTGCAGTTTAAATCGGAGCCGCTAGAAGTGGTTCTCAACCTGTGGGTTGCAACCCCTTTGGCGGTCAAACGACCCTTTCACAGGGGTCGCCTAAGACCATCCTGAATATCAGATATTTACATTACGATTCATAACAGTAGCAACATTACAGTTATGAAGTAGCCGCAACCCAGGTACATGCCCTTGACCGGAATCGAACCCGGGACCCTTCAGTCCGCAGGCAGATGCTCTATCCACCGAGCCAAACCAGTCCTGGCTAGAAGGTAATCTCTTATAGTCTGTGCATGTTATTATAGAACATAACCCTTGTTTTCTTGAAAAAGGTACATGAGATCTTGAATGTTTGCCAAAAAGTTAGTCAGAACTTGAAAAAAAAAAAAGGCCAGCAACAGGGAAAAAAACTTGCCTCCAAATTGTTTCCCCTTGTGGAACACGGTATTTCATTTGCTAGAGCCTTTAGGAGAGGCCAAGAAGGATAAATCTCCTCCCCTTGCACCCTCCGCTCCTAAAGAGGAGCAGAAAGAAAAAAAAAAATTGGAAGAAATGGCCTTCATGGCCCCCTCCATGTCCTAACCCTGAAATGTTTAGTTCTCCGTTAATAGAATCACCTGTGCAAAAAAGCCAAATTATAAAGAAATTGGAATATTAAAAGGTACTCTTTTAAATCAGGCTGAAAAAAAAAGAGTGCTATGGTCACCTCAATGTGGTTTCTTGTCCAAATTAAAATCTTAATTTGTATTTGGAATCTAAAATCTGTAATAAGAAATGAAACCCCGCTGCCAAATCCGCCTCTGGTGTGGAGTGATTCAAAGGTGGCAGGACAGGGCAGAGCTGTAAGCCCTCCCGCAATGAGATGACTTAATGTTTTATTTAAAAATTACCGGAGAACATCTTACGATAACCAAATTTTGGCTAAGATAACCTTGGGTGCTAGCCATTGCTTCGGAAAGCGGAATAGGAAAAAACTTAAAATGTCTTTTTCGATTAAGCATGATTTTGGGAAACATTTACCAACAGCAGCCAATTGATGATGTTTCTATCTCTCTCTCTCTCTCCCCCTTCCTCTCTCTCTAAAAAAATCAAAAAATATATTTTTTTTATAAAAAGGATTTGAAGCTCAAAACAGAGATGGATGTTTTCTTTTTTGGATGGCGCTAAAATCGTGCGAGGTTATCATCCCAAAGCATAGGACGGAGCCTGAACTTCAGGCACAGAGTTTGACAAGTTCAGCTTCCTGGTCTCAAGGACACAGACTGCGGTCAGGGCAGGGAGGGGGCGTGTGTGTGTGTGTGTGTGTGTGTGTGTG